CAATTTGCCTGACGGTTTTGATATCCATTCATCATGATCCATTACACCTCATGTCACAACAAACTTAATACTAACATAAAAATATACACTGCTCAAAAAAATTAAGGGAACACTTAAACAACACAATGTAACTCCAAGTCAATCACACTTCTGTGAAATCAAAATGTCCACTTAGGAAGCAACACTGATTGACAATAAATGTCACATGCTGTTGTGCAAATGGAATAGACAACAGGTGGAAATTATAGGCAATTAGCAAGACACCCCCAATAAAGAAGTGGTTCTGCAGATGCTGACCACAGACCACATCTCAGTTCCTATGCTTCCTGGCTGATGTTTTGGTCACATTTGAATGCTGGCGGTGCTTTCACTCTAGTGGTAGCATGAGACAGAGTCTACAACCCACACAAGTGGCTCAGGTAGTGCAGTTCATCCAGGATGGCACATCAATGCGAGCTGTGGCAAGAAGGTTTGCTGTGTCTGTCAGCATAGTGTCCAGAGCATGGAGGCCCTACCAGGAGACAGGCCAGTGCATCAGGAGACGTGGAGGAGGCCGTAGGAGGGCAACAACCCAGCAGCAGGACCACTACCTCCGCCTTTGTGCAAGGAGGAGCAGGAGGAGCACTGCCAGAGCCCTGCAAAATGACCTCCAGCAGGCCACAAATGTGCATGTGTCTGCTCAAACGGTCAGAAACAGACTCCATGAGGGTGGTATGAGGGCCCGACGTCCACAGGTGGGGGTTGTGCTTACAGCCCAACACCGTGCAGGACATTTGGCATTTGCCAGAGAACACCAAGATTGACAAATTCGCCACTGGCGCCCTGTGCTCTTCACAGATGAAAGCAAGTTCACACTGAGCACGTGACAGACGTGACAGAGTCTGGAGACGCCGTGGAGAACGTTCTGCTGCCTGCAACATCCTCCAGCATGACCGGTTTGGCGGTGGGTCAGTCATGGTGTGGGGTGGCATTTCTTTGGGGGGCCGCACAGCCCTCCATGTGCTCGCCAGAGGTAGCCTGACTGCCATTAGGTACCGAGATGAGATCCTCAGACCCCTTGTGAGACCATATGCTGGTGCGGTTGGCCCTGGGTTCCTCCTAATGCAAGACAATGCTAGACCTCATGTGGCTGGAGTGTGTCAGCAGTTTCTGCAAAAGGAAGGCATTGATGCTATGGACTGGCCCGCCCATTCCCCAGACCTGAATCCAATTGAGCACATCTGGGACATCATGTCTCGCTCCATCCACCAACGCCACGTTGCACCACAGACTGTCCAGGAGTTGGCGGATGCTTTAGTCCAGGTCTGGGAGGAGATCCCTCAGGAGACCATCCGCCACCTCATCAGGAGCATGCCCAGGCGTTGTAGTGAGGTCATACAGGCACGTGGAGGCCACACACACTACTGAGCCTCATTTTGACTTGTTTTAAGGGCATTACATCAAAGTTGGATCAGCCTGTAGTGTGGTTTTCCACTTTAATTTTGAGGGTGACTCCAAATCCAGACCTCCATGGGTTGATACATTTGATTTCTGGTCCTCTGTAGCTCAGCTGGTAGAGCACGGCGCTTGTAACACCAGGGTAGTGGGTTCGATCCCCGAGACCACCCATACACAAAAATGTATGCACACATGACTGTAAGTCGCTTTGGATAAAAGCGTCTGCTAAATGGCATATTATATTATATTATTATTATTATTATATTATTTCCATTGATCATTTTTGTGTGATTGTGTTGTCAGCACATTCAACTATGTAAAGAAAAAACTATTTAATAAGATTATTTCATTCATTCAGATCTAGGATGTGTTGTTTAAGTGTTCCCTTTATTTTTTTGAGCAGTGTACTTTCTTCAAACATCTATACAACATTGTAGAAAATAATCGAAAGAATCATAAAGTCTAAACATTTTAAATTACCGACAATCCTATAAAAACAGAAAGGAAATTAGTTAAATCACTCTATTGTCTCTCTCTTTGGTTATTCTCATGAAAGATATTTACATTTTGAGCAACATTAAGTTGGATTTACATTATTTTGTTAAAATGAAATTAACAAATCATTGAAACGACTTGCATAATTTTGTTTTACAGATATTGTTGGGGTATTTTGAGACTTTATTGAGACAGTTATGAAATGGCAGAGTGGATGATAGGTGGGGGAAACAGATTGCAGGGTTGGAGCGGGGGAATTTAACCCCAGTCTTCTGTGGGGAGAGGGGTGACCTGTCTAAACCGGGTGCATTACTAGATGACGGGCTCTGCACGACTTGCATAAATTTTTATTAAGTATATTCATTGTTCTTTTTTTGGTCAATTTCAATTCACCCCAGATTAATTTCTTACAGTGTGGATGTGTGGTTGAGTGGGTAAAATGTCAACGTCAAAACAAAGCATTAAAAAAATCATGGAATTCCACAAAATATATTCTTAAAGTATCATCAATCAATATGAAGGCTATAAACCATTTTAATTTCTAATTAAATGATTGTATGTCTTTTTTTGTGTGTATTTTGATGCAGCCTTTTGCATGCACTGAAACCCCTAAAAACACCAATATTCAGGTTGAAGAACCACTTTGGGTTATTCAGAGTACTACATTTCTGTTTTAAAACACATTCTGTGTATTAAAACACTTACATTGGGTTTACATTCAAACACCCTCCAAACACCAGATATCATCTTAGGTGCATTACTTTTCATGGTTTCATTACACAATCATGGTGTTTTAAGACTTTCTATTTTTACAGTGTGGTCATGATAATTATGCTGGCTTCATAGCAGTCTTGCAAACCCAGATACTCAATTCTCAGAATTCGTGCTTATGGAGAACATAAAGCTTGGAACTCAAGGCTAGTTTCCTTGAAATACTTGTTTACATCTCCATCAATACAATGTGTACATGTAAAAAAACAACAACAAAGGCCTACTTTCATAGAAAAATACATTTATTTTGAACAATTTGAACATTTTATTTTGTTTACAGTCAGGAATATGAGGTAAAAACTAAAATATTAGCTTAGCTAACAAAATTAACAATACAGTATAGCTCATGCACTACAATGTTAAGCAACTTTTGCGAAATCTTCAACATGACCATCCGATACATGGTTCAATACTTTTACTAATATTAAAATCACCATGATCAACACTTGCTTACCTCATCATATTACTGTTAAAAAGTGAATTATGACATGCTAGAAAAAGTGAGCGATATTATTGTACTTATTGTAAAACGAGCAGTAGGCTAATAGATAACACAAACTCTGTTCAGTGTGCCAAGCTTCTAGAATGACCAGTCTAATAAAAATGTTTGGCCTACATACTTTTTATCCACCTGTACACCTTTTAACAGCCTCAATTATAGTCTAAAGATTGTTTCCCAAGGAGCCACGCTAATTTGTAGTATGCCTTTACGTGTTATTATTTACATTCCACCTCCCTTGTGTAATAGTACAGTCGATACAGTTGACATTATCAAGTGCACATCTGTAAGATAATCATGTTGCACAATGCTATCTAGCACTTAAGAAAACAATTACTCTTTCAACAATGGCATTTTCTTATGCCTATTTCTGACTTTAACAGATGTCAAATTACGCTTCCTCAATACTCAAATAATGTATATACACCAAATAATGTATTCTCCTGCTATATAGATTTCTAAAGTATTGTGAAATACATATTAAGTAGCAATTCTCAGTGACCAAAGTGTATGGTGAAAACAAAGCTTTTTAAGTTGGCACATTGAAACACCACAATCTGTACTTACAGTACTCAGAATCTAATTTCTTAGACATTAGTACAAGTAGGAAACTCTCTTGTGATCACTCTCTCCCCATTTCTTCCATTTTCTCCTGGAGATAGAATATATAAACAAAGGTATAATTATTATGAATAGTGCCCCAAAGACACTATTGTACCCAACCCCCCAATAAAACAAATTACCCCAGTTGGTATCAATTGAATGTTTTGATGTTGGCAGTGCTTTGTGGACCTTTGTGTCGCCTACCAACTAAACTAGCATAGGAACCACTGCAGGCATCAGAGTAATGATAACAGACAGACAACAGCGAATTCATTGAATCTAATGGTACAAATGGAAGCTCCCGTATTGCTCTGCCCATTGGGAATAAATAGTTGGAAGGCAACAGAAGAGAAATCAATCTGTCTCAGATCACTAAGGTCTGCTGGAGGAGAGACCTGCTGTGAGATAAAGATTGGCCAAAGTGCTGACCTCTCAAAAAGCCTCCCACCCACATGTCTATCAGGACCACTGCAGTGGCACTATTGTCAAAAACAGTCTGCTTTAACAACCCAAAATGGTTTCCCTATGTTGACCTTTATGCTTTATGCTTACAGGAGTTTATGGTGCAAATTAAATTAATTTAGCTACAAAGGCACTTAAGGGTTTGTCAAGTACAATACAGTAGGCCTACACCGTGAAACTTTCTGTATCTTGAAATGGCTAATCATAATGCCTTCATGACATTGAGATTGACACCATGCTTGCCATTGCAATCCATAATTCTGTCAGAATTCAATATCTGACACAAACCTATTCTGATAGAAGATAAGGTTCTTCAGTGTGGTTTTTATTGCAGCTCGCTTGACGGATTAGCTATCTCTTTGAAAATGTGTGAGTTAACTGACTAGCTAGCAGTTTGTGGCTTTTATACTTGCTGTCCTAGCAATGATGAAAATGTATTACAATGTTTCAATTATACTTTTTGTTTTAACCAATGCATTTAGCGTGATTAATTATTGTAATTGCGTGCTTGACTGGATCCGAATGAACTTGATGTATATTACGACATTTTACAATACAACTTTATTGTCCATATGTTACAGCACACAACAGAGATGTGTCTTCTGCTGTGTGTGGACAGCTGATTTACATAGGCTACGGCATGTGATGATTTTCATGGGAGCTTGGCTCTGAAGGCCTAGGACCATTAGGCAGGTCTGCCACTTTGCTATACGGTAAAGTCTAACTTACCACTGCTCCTGGCCTCCAGTTCTTTCACCATAAGTTCCTTCTCTGAGGGGAACTCACTGTGCTTCATCTTGGACATGGGGTTGTTCTGCCCGACGGTGCCGATCATCTCCGGCTCCTTTTCCTGGTTCTCCTCAGCCTGGACATGGATCCAAGGGATTTTCCTAACAAGCCAGACACCACTCTACTGACGTCATGTGAACTTAACCTGCAGTACTGTCACAACTTCACTTCTTTGTTAATAGTTAAGAGTATAATGTACCTTTTGAATGCCACTAAGACAAAATAAGAAAGAATTGGTTGACTATAACTAACCAATCAATATTATTACGAGAACATACCTTTTGAACTTGAAGATGAAGAATGCAGCTAAACCAACAAACGCCACAGATAGCAACATCAGCATGACCGAGCTACTGTGAATTGGGTTGGAATCAACCAGAGGTGCTGGAGAAATACAGAGACAGACCAAGTCTTTAGCCTACAGATTTCTGCTTTAGCCAATTATTTTGTTAAAATCATTAATTTAATGTAGTTATGTCTTTGTGTTACTCTTGTCTATAACTGTTCTGTATTTTGTCATGTACTTTATGTTTTGTGGGGACCCCAAGAAGAGCTACAGCTAATGGGGATCCTAATAAACTAAAGTAAACAAATCATGCCAAACATGCAAAAAATAGTTGGTAAAAGCAGAAACAATTTCTATGGGAGAAAACAAGGGCAGACACTAGCAATTATTCACTTTTATTCACTTAGCATGTGTCCAATAAGTCTGAGTGAGCGGTTCAAAAGGAGCGGCATCTGTCATGTTTCATTTTAAGACGGCATAAAAAGGGCCTCCATCCATGAGCTCCCGCTCTTTCTCCCTAAGCCTCTGAAAGGTTTGCGCTTAGTCATGGCTTTAAGTGCTGAGGCGTATTATTCAGAGTATGTATTAGCCCACCCCTCCCAACCCATCTTTCTCTCTTCCAAGAGGAGACCAGTGAAGTCGGTGACCTTTCCACAGCATTTTAAAGGCATCTCAGACCTTTCCATGCAGACACAAATTAAGACAGATCAGTAACTTGATGAAAAGGGTAAAGTCATGTGTGCTTGATCGACACGTTTTGGTGATATGCTAATATCCAAATGACCCCGTTGACTTCCAAGGTGCATACTAAAGGTACATATTGTTAAACGTTTCATTGATTGCATGACTATAAGACAATCTACTGTAATAAGCTAGTTACAAAAGAGATTCATTTAAAAATGTCCATCAATATCTGCTGTTGACATCAGGTGGTGAATTGAGTGTCAGTACAGTGCTTATTATAGTATTCTGAATTGTTTATGCATTGTTATTTAGCACTTTATACTGTGAAAGAGTCAAAGAAAAACTGCAACTTACCCGAAGTTAGCTGTGTGATGTAAACAATTATTTGAGTGTCAGGTTTCAACTCAAACTGGATCAATCCTTGGTTCAGGGCATTTATAAGAATGTCTGATATCTGTTTGACAGAATTGAAAAATGGCACCCCAAAATGTGCATTTGCAAAGATTATTCTTTCAAATTTGAAGTTGATGATAACATTATCTTGGAAAACAAATTAAGTCAGTTTAACCCCATTGGTGATGCAAATGTGAATTTTGAGGAGATTAATTACAAGATTAGATGTTCTAGAAGATTTCCGAAAGTAAAAACTCTTGCAAGAAGTGAAGCAAAATATGTTTACATTCACTAAGCCCTCTTTGTCCCCTTTCCCATGTTCAGGCAACTGAGTCTCAGGCAGGATAAATAGTTCTGCTGTTGTTGGAACACCTGGAAACAACGATACCAACAGCTGCTCCTCTGGAAACCCAGACACCTGTAACAGCAGTCTTCCAGTCAAACATACACACTGCTATTGTTGGAAAACACATGATACTACACATCTATGTTAACTTTACTTCTTAAAAATGTCACATTGAATTAAGGAGGGTTATCCTCATCATATCTCATGTTTTGAAATAGTGACAACCTCATGACGACTGTCGTTCCAGAGGGAACTTTTTCCTGTACCTGTGACACAGCTGTCCTCACCACGCGGCCAATATCCTCTCTCCACTTGGGGATGTCAGGGTTGTGCTCATCCAAAGTTGGAGAGAATGATAACAGCAAGGATTTGAAGAACTCTGCGAAACATGGAGGATGATTCCATGAACCCTCTACCACAAAGCTTTGCCGTGTGGCAACATACCATTAAGAATCCTTCAGTTTTCTGGAATTGTTTATAACCTAACATGAATTGACAATTTACTCTTGTTTCTCATGACATAGAGGTGAGTAGACAGGAGTAGAGGTGACATCCACATTTTCACTAACAAGGCAGTATTTACATGGACATAGAAGATGTGTGATTAAAAACAAGTTGCGTACTTATGTTACATTCATTTAAAAGCCTTTGAAGGAGTCCTTCCCACTCACCTTTAACAATGATGACCTTGGTATCCTGCAGTATGTTGCACCCAGAAGACACCTGGACAATGACCCTGTTCATACCCTCCTTCTGAAACGTGTACGCAATGCTTCCACCCAAGGTTATTAAGGACTGGGTTTCGCAAGACAAAGAGAATGTCATAGAAAACCTCACAACCTTGTCTTTTGCAGCACACATGAAATACAAAAAGGACCAAAACAACTTGCTGCGAATAAACACAATTCCAATCTACAATATAACGAGGGACCTGAACTAGGCAAGGTGTAGCACCCACACAGATACAGCAAGACTGGTCAGTGTAATTGGGTGAAGGAATCTCACCTCGGAGCTGTTTTCAAACCACCAGAAGAAGGTGAGTGTTCTGTGGTGGACAGGCCAGACCACAGCAGTTAGGTTGGCTTCCTTCTTCCTGATGGCCACAATAGGAGCTGAGAGATACACACGCTCCACTGGGCCTGAGACACACCAAAGCACACAAGGTAACCACATTGGCCAATACAAACCAAATGCAGTCATTTTGGTAACAGTAAGTTTGTTAGTTTACAAATCCAACAGCTTCATAAGCACTTAAAATTCAATGTTGTTGTAGGTCAATCTATAGTTGTTGACGTATGATCATCTATAATCTATGCTGGTGTCAGTGGCTTAACATGCTTGGGCAGGAAAAATCATGAAACCACATGAGACATAAGAGAGCCAGTGTTTCTCGTTGACATACTGGTGATGTGCAAGAACATGGAGCTGCTGTCATATCCCTGGCTGTTCTCAGCATGTGCTGTCACTCTGAAGATCCCAGGTGCTCTATAGCTGTGTTTGATCCCATCGCCTCTCCGGCTCAGGTTGTACATGACCGTGATGCCATCCCCAAAGTCTAGCTGGATATAAGTCCACAACGGGTTTCCCTGGAGACAGGAAGTAAGACAGGCATCATTAGTCAGAACAGATTGTAATGACACTGCATTATCCTTCACAGGGAAGAGTTGTCTAGGGAAATACTTGGGATGAGATTTGAGATTAGACATAGGAGAAGCACTCTGGAAATGAGAAAGAACAAGAGAGAAATCAGAAGGAGAAAGTGAGAGATAAAGAAACAGAGACAATGTAGTGAGTCATAGTGCTCTTTCATTCCAAAACCAGACAAGGGTGGTTCAGGCTCTGGGGATGTCACGTCATCCAACACTTCAAAAGCACAAGATAATCCAGGACAAACTTCCACAGCTCCATGATGAAATAATAATAATATGCCTACTAATGACACAGTATTGGTTAGTGGTGGGAGAGGAGACTCACATCGTCCAGATGCACCAGGAAGGTGACGTTACTGCCCAGGTTGGCGGTGAGGTCTCCATGGCTGGTGGTCAGTCTGAGGCCTCTGGGAGGCCTGGGGGAACAATGCTGTTTCCTGGGGGAGTACACATCCTTTCCTCCCTCTTTGCAGTTATTAGACAAAACCTTCCTGTACCTACCAGTGACAACATTCACAGCATAGATGTAATTTTATAATTGAGAGTGAGACTGGATTTACTGTAGTCTCACAATGCAGAGAGAGTAATTTGCTGAACAAAGGGCCTTATTCAATCAAAAACAATACTTACTGAGTGGGAAAACACTGACTATCAAATCACAGCACAGAAAGAGTGTTATTTTGCTCAAGGGAGGAAGGAATGAGGGATAGTACAAGTTACTTACCCTGTGCTATTGAGGTAATTCTGGCTAGTGCTACAGCTTCTTGTTACCGTGATTGGGTCAAACCAAAATGCAGGGGAACACTTTCCATCAGCTTGACGTTCATACCCATAATCACTGTAAAACATGAGACTGTTCAGAAAACGCTATTTACTTTCCCCTCGCTGACACTAAAAAGCTTTTGTAGTTGAGCAATAGGTCACATTTCTAGTATGACTACAAGTTTTAAGAGCATAAATAAAGACATGATTGTTGTCAGATGTTGGATCAAAGAGAATTTCAGACAGAAAGATACAATACATTTAGAATGAATTTAGCAATTCATTACTTATTAATTGGATGATAATAAATCCTTTGTCATTATGTAAAGCTTAGTCACATTCACAATTTGCAAACTATAATTGGATTGTGTGGATGCATACACAGTGGCTACATGCAATAAACTGGAGAACATTTGGGAAATTGAAGAAGTATAAAGTTGAGCAAACTAATAGTTGTGGTGATTAGATATGTGATTAGGAGGGCTGTTAAGTCCTGTGAGGCTCCAGTAATTAAGAAACAATTCCATTTAATGTCCAGCAGAGTGTTGGGGGATGGGTTACATTTACAATCCCCTTGCCTATTCACTGATGTAACAACTGAGGAAGTCTACCATAACATTACTAACCATTCAAAATCATATGCCCTGCAGATGCATGGTTCTGAGGATATGACTCGGGAGTAGTCCTGGGCCAGCATACAGCGGTTCCCTGGCCTCCGTTTCATAAAGGTCTGCTTCTCTCCCATCACACATGGCTCTCCCTATCAAACAGCATTACATTTCATTCCCTGCTGTGAATTTCATTACATTGATTCAATGTTTTTTACTGCTGAATAGTCTGAAATGATATGAATATACAATGTGATTCAGCTATGTGTGTGTATGTATGTATGTGTATGTATGTATGTGTGTGTGTGTGCGCGTGTGCGTGTGTGCGCGTGTGAACGTGCACATGCATCCATGTGCTGTGTTTACAGTGACAATAAACAAACATGCCCATCTTGATGTTGGCATCAAATCAATAACTTTCAATATGTACGTTACCTTGTTATGTAGGTGCCAAGTCTGATAATCTCCGTCCATGCATCTCCTGCTAAAGATGGCTTTGTAGTCAATCTTTATAAGCTGCCATTCTGAAACACGACTTAAGTGTCCAGTGAAACTTGAATCAACAAAACAAAACAATAGGTAAGTTATAAGCCTTATTGTCTTTGTCTCTTGTAAAATTAAGATGCTGGGTCTTCCCAGACTAGTATATTGCTACTGTGGCCCAGACGTTCAACGTAAACACATTAACAAAAGTAAATAACTTTGCAAACACAGCTATGTGTATAGCACCTCTGGGCAAACAAAACATTGTAAATTGAGAAATTAAGTTTAGGTGCTATTTACCCGTTCATGCATAATAACAACACTATTTTACTTTCATAACCAGATGACCTGTAACCTAGAATATGAGTTATGTGTTTACTTAATGTTGACCCAACCCTGACTCCACTTACATGATGATGTGATTCTCTGGCTGCATGAGAGCTCCATCCAGAAACAAAGGAGCCAGAGAGAAACTGTGACGATCCCATTTCTTACCCTCGTCCAGACTTATCCTATTTCACAACACAGGACAACAACTATTAACATCTGATTAAATATATCACGTAGTTAATTATTATGCTAGTAATGGTGTAATTACCTGTACACCACAATTTCAAAGGATGTAACTCTCTGGCATCTTTGTAATCTTTGCAAGGTATGACAATGAAAAGAGTTTAACAGAAGATATGTCTAACCGTTTCTACAAACAGAATCCAAATTCCTATTGATACCGTTCTTATGACAGTAAGATACATTCTCACTATGGATGAAAAATGAAGTACCCATATCAGCCTGTTCTCTATGTTGGAAATTATCCCAACTATGCACTCAATAATAGAACAAATGTTTCACAGGTCTAGGTAAATGTCGACAGCGACAAAACATAAAAAGAGATATGACTCACGCTCTAACAATTGAAGGACTTAAATCACCCTTGACAGATCTTAATTGATCGTGACACTGTTGCAGTTCGGTGGACATCAAAGTATCTGGTGTGACAAGGTTCCAACAACACAAGGACCTATGCCCACAAAGTCCCTTGATACTTCAAACCTGCACTTGGCTACATTTGCATTAAAGTAATTTGCAAAAATACCCACGAACAGTGCAAAGCAGTGACAGACATTTATTGTTGAAAGGATTCTAACAGTTTTGATGTAGTGAGAGAAACAGTTGCAGTTGCTGGAGATAGACATTCCATGCAAACATACCTTGCCAATCATAATTTCATAGGCTAAATGTAATTGTATGCAACATCAACACCAAAACTGAAATCAGAATTAAATTAATTGTGTCCTGAAATGGGAACATCAACATTAGTCTTTACATTTTGCACACCCGTTTCTGAAATGAACTGATAAGGTACAGTATAATGCATTGTTACATACAGTGAATATAATTATTATACTACCATATGCAGTGTATTCAGAAACTATTCACACCCCTTTACTTTTTCCACATTTTGTTGTGCTACAGACAGAATTTAAAATTGATTAAATGTAGATTTTGTGTCACTGATTTACCATAATGTCAATGTTCAAAATTTATAAAAAATGGAAAGCTGAAATGTGTTGAGTCAATAAGTATTCAACCACTTTGTTATGGGAAGCCTAAATAAGTTCAGGAGTAAAAATGTGCTTAACAAGTCATATAATAATTTACATGGACTCATTCTGTGTTCAAAAGTGGTTAACATGATTTTTGAATGAATCCCCATCTCTGTACCCCACACATACAATTATCTGTAAGGTCCCTCAACCGAGTAGTGAATTTTAAGCACAGATTCAACCACAAAGATCTGGGAGGTTTTTCAATGCCACGCAAACAAGGGCACGGATTGGTAGATGGGTAAATATGAAAAAAAGCAGATGCTGAATATCCCTTTGAGCATGGTGAAGTTATTAATTAGGCTTTGGATGGCGTATCAATACACCCAGTCACTACAAAGATACAGGCGTCCTTCTTAACTCAGATGATGGAGAGGAAGGAAACTGCTCAGGGATTTCACCATGAGGCCAATGGTGATTTTAAAACAGTTACAGAGTTTTATGGTTGTGATATGAGAAAACTGAGGATGGATCAACAACATTGTAGTTACTCCACAATACTTACCTAAATGACAGAGTGAAAATAAGGAAGCCTGTACAGAATACAAATATTCCAAAACATGCATCCTGCTTGCAACAAGGCACTTAAGTAATACTGTAGAAAATGTGGCAAAGAAATTAACTTTTTGTCCTGAATAAAAAGCGTTATGTTTGGGACAAATCCAACACAACACATCACTGAATACCACTCTTCATATTTCAAGCATGGTGGGGCTGCACCATGTAATGGGTATGCTTGTCATCGGCATGGACAAGGGAGTTTTTGTGGATAAAAAGAACCAGAATAAAGCTAAGCACAACCAAAATCATAGAGGAAAACTTGGTTCAGTCTTCTTTCCAATGTCAGTTTGGCACCGATGTGGATGTGATGAGGAGTCAGGCGCAGGACACAGAGGTTTAGTCCAACAAACTTTACTATAGTAAAGTGAACAATAATCACTACACGACCTCGAAATACAGAGGCGAGAACAGTACGCAACATGCGTAAAACAAAACATGTAGAGCGCAAAACACGCAGCTCAAACGACACGCGGACAACAACACACAATATAACTAACACAAAACAGGGAACTTATAGGACACGTAATTAGGACACAAACAGACACAGGTGTACCAGACAGACCAAAGCAATCAACACACGAAACATACAACGGTGGCAGCTAGTATTCCGGGGACGGCGAACGCCGAAGCCTGCCCGAACCAGGAGGAGGAGCAGCCTCGGCCGAAACCGTGACATCCAACAGACACTGGGAGACAACTTCACCTTTCAGCAGGACAATAACCTAAAACACAAGGCCAAATCTATACTGGAGTTGCTTACCAAGACAACATTGAATGTTCCTGAGTGGCCTAGTTACAGTTTTGACTTAAATTGGCTTGAAAGTCTATGGCAAGACATGAAAATGGTTGAGGAGCTTGAAGAATTTTTAAAAGAATAATGGTGTCACGATCGTCGTATGGAGTAGAACATACTTCTTTATTAAGTGAAAGCACGAACAAAACAAGAAAACGATAACGTGACAGTCAACAGTCAAACACAAACCAACTCGAACAAGATCCCACAAAAGACAAAGGGCAAACAGACAGTTTTAAATATGGCTCCCAATCAGAGACAACCAGCCACAGCTGACACTCGTTGCCTCTGATTGGGAGTCACTCTGGCCAACATAGAAACAGCACAACTAGAACTCCCGACATAGAAATACAACACATAGAATGAACACACCCTGGCTCAACATATAGAGTCCCAGAGCCAGGGTGTGACAGTACCCCCCCCTAAAGGCGCGGACTGCGACCGCGCCTCAACTAGAACCAAACAGGGGAGGGCTGGGTGGGCATTCCTCCTCGGCGGCGGTTCTGGCTCCGGGCTTGCCCACCACCCTCCAATAATCCCCCCATAGCGCCCCTGGTCCGATCTGGCCCCGCTGGCTGGAGCTGAACTGGACATAGTAGGAGCGGATAGCTTCAGCTCCGGTGTGGAGCAGCCGACCAGTACCTGATCAGGCACCGGTGACCCAGGCACGGGTTGTGCCGGACTGACGACGCGCACCCCTGGCTTGGTGCGTGGAGCAGGAACGGACCGGACCGGGCTGACGATGCGCACCCCTGGCTTGGTGCGAGGAGCAGCAACGGGCCGGACCGGGCTGACGATACGCACCCCTGGCTTGGTGCGTGGAGGAGGAACGGGCCTTACCAGGCTGACGACTCGTACCCCTGGCTTGGTGCGTGGAGGAGGAACGGGCCTTACCAGGCTGACGTCTCGCACCCCTGGCTTGGTGCGAGTAGCAGGAACAGGCCGGGCCGGGCTGGCGACGCGTACCGTAGGCTTGGTGCGTGGAGCAGCAATGGGCCTTACCAGGCTGACGTCTCGCACCCCTGGCTTGGTGTCAGTAGCAGGAACTGGCCGGGCCGGGCTGGCGACGCCCACCGTAGGCTTGGTGCGAGTGGCAGGAACAGGCCGGGCCGGGCTGGCGACGCGCACCGTAGGCTTGGTGCGAGTGGCAGGAACAGGCCGGGCCGGGATGGCGACGCGCACCGTAGGCTTGGTGCGAGTGGCAGGAACAGGCCGGGCCGGGCTGGCGACGCGCACCGTAGGCTTGGTGTGAGGGGCAGGAACAGGCCGGGCCGGGCTGGCGACGCGCACCGTAGGCTTGGTGCGAGTGGCAGGAACAGGCCGGGCCGGGCTGGCGACGCGCACCGTAGGCTTGGTGCGAGGGGCAGGAACAGGCCGGACCGGGCTGTGGAGACGGATAGGAGACCTGGAGTGAAGAGCGGCCACAACCCGTCCTGGCTGAATGCCTACCTTCACACACTCTGTGTGAGGCATCCGCACAGGACGTACAGGGCTGTGTACCCGTACTGGCATAACAGCACGTGACAATGGAGCAGGATATCCGGGACCGAGGAGAGGCATTGGAGACCACGAGCGCTGAGCCGGCACACTCCGTCCTGGCTGCATACCCACCTTCGCACGACACGTGCGGGGTGCTCGCACAGGACGTACCGGACTATGCCGGACCACTCGTGGCACCGTACGCCGCTCCGCATACCGCGGCACCTGCCCAGTCCCATGCTGCCATGCCTGAGTACGGGAAGTTGGTTCCGCTCTCCATCCAGGCTCCGCCAACCTGCCTTCTGGCCCCCCAAACCCGGTGGCCTCCTCTCCAAATCGCCCTGTGGCAGCCTCCTGCTGCCCAGTCGCCCATGCCGTGTGCCCCCCCCTAAATTTTTTTTGGGGTTGCCTCTCGTCCGTCCGACGACGACACTGCTGACGCCGCTGCTCCTCTCTCGCCAGGGCCTTAATCCTAGCCCATGGCCCTTTTCCCCCCGAGCATGTCCTCCCAGGACCACACTTTGCCCACCTGGGCCATCGCCAACCTCTCCAGCTCCTTTCCTGGCGCTTCCTCCCATGTCCAGGCCGCCTGTTCCTGGACACGCTGCTTTGTCCTGGAGTGGTGGGATCTTCTGTCACGATCGTCATATGGAGTAGACCAATGCGCAGCGTTAGTTGCGAACATACTTCTTTATTAAGTGAAAGCACGAACAAAACAAGAAAACGATAACGTGACAGTCAACGGTCAAACACAAACCAACTCGAACAAGATCCCACAAAACACAAAGGGCAAACAGACAGTTTTAAATATGGCTCCCAATCAGAGACAACCAGCCACAGCTGACACTCGTTGCCTCTGATTGGGAGTCACTCTGGCCAACATAGAAACAGCACAACTAGAACTCCCGACATAGAAATACAACACATAGAATGAACACACCCTGGCTCAACATATAGAGTCCCAGAGCCAGGGTGTGACAAATGGGCAAATATTGTACAGTCCAGGTGTGCAAAGCTCTTAGAGACTTACCCAAAAAGACTCACAGCTGTAATCGCTGCCAAAGATGTTTCTAACATGCATTGTATCAGGGGGAGAATAGTTATCTAATCAAGATCTATTAGTGTTTTATTTTTCATAAATGTTTAATAAATGTTAGAATATTTCTTCTACTTTGACATTACAGAGTATTAAATCAATTTTAATCCCACTTTGGAACACAACAAAATGTGGAAAAAGTCAAGGGGTGTGAATACTTTCTGAAGGCACTGTACAGTACACTACAGTATAATTACAATGAACATACCATACGTGCCGGATGGGTACTGTTGCAACTAAAGACACTGCAACTAAAGCACCTCCATTGTCAAGAAACCAAACACCGAGTTCTTCTTCAAAAATCTAATAAAAAGTAGAAGACAATAAACATATGATTTGCATCAATAGTTGTTCACATTCATAATGTACATTTAGGAAAAACTAACTGAAGTTGGAGACCATTTTGAGGCAAAGATGGGTCTCACCTTTCTCCAGCTATTGCCAGCATCAGATGTTATAAACATCCCAAGGTTAGTGGAGGACAGCTCTGTACCAATGTTGCCTGAAAATAAATAATGAATATGAATTCATATACCCGTATATTTGCATAGTAAAGACACATACTTGCAAAGAAAATAAACGTGCATAACATTATCATAGCTATGCAGCTCCTTTTATTTTATTTTATTTTAGACTGCCCCTAGTCATTGGATGACTTTATCCCATTATGAACACTTTTATTGATCTGTTTTCTATTTGAAGATTTTTCACATTTCTACCACAGAAAAAAGTTTGCAAACAGTTAACAGCTGTGCCTGCCTTTACTATTTTGTTGCTAGAACAGAAATACCATGCAGTATCAACCTTTTCGGCTTCTGTCCTACCTGTGGCTACGATGATCCCTGGTGCTGAGTCCTTACTGAAGATGCGTCCAGGCAGGTAAGGGTTCACAGGCATATCCAGGTGCAGATGCAGAGAACAAAATGGCTGCCAAATCAAGATACTAAATCAAACACATCTTATAAGGATCTACACTGAGTATACCAAACATTAAGAACAACCCGAAAGTGTTCCACAGGGATGCTGGCCCATGTTGACTCCAATGCTTCCCACAGTTGTGTCAAGTTGGCTGGATGTCCTTTGCGTGGTGGACCATTCTTGATACACACTGAAAACTGTCGAGCGTAAAAACCCCAGCAGTGTTGCAGTTCTTGACACAAACCGATGCGCCTGGCACCTTCTACCATACCCAGTTCACAGGAACTTAAATATTTTGTCTTGCCCATTCACCCTCTGAAAGGCACACATACACAATCCACGTCTCAATTGTCTCAAGGCTTAAAAGTCCTTCTTTAACCTGTCTCCTCATCTTCATCTACACTGATTTAAGTGTATTTAACAAGTGACATCAATAAGGGATCATAGCTTTTACCTGGATTCACCTGGTCAGTCTATTTCAGGGAAAGAGCAGGTATCCTTAATGTTTTTTATACTCAGTGTATTTCTGACTCATTTATATTTGACTCTGTGTTCAAACTGTGCAAACTAATCTCTCTTTGAAAAGGAAGTTTGCAAAGACCATTTATGGAACAGATAAACTTTTAAAATCTTTTCCACCAACAGATTGAAACTGCCTACAGAGGACATTGGAGCTGGCTGTTCCATTCTGAAGCAAACATGTAATAAAACATTCCCCAAGATGCAAAGATTAATCTGACAAAATTATTTAATTTACTGATAAATCTAAATTACTAATCTCTCTGATGTAACTCCCCCAGAGGGGAGGCCAGAGTACAACGGACATTTGTATGACAGACAAAAACAGTATTATATCAATTTTTCCTCTCATTCATTTAGAAATGCATAATATGTGCATATTATGTTAACTCGCTTTTCATATAAAAAATAATGGATTATTTAAATGTATATATCAAACAAATCTAACACAGATCACCATGGGGCACTTTCTAACTGCCATTTCTTGTAATGTAACTTTCATTAGGATGATGTATTTACAGTGATTAAGGTGGCAAATTGAAATAGTTGAGGTTAATGTAGATTTTGAACCGCTTGATGGACTGGAATGTATTGGACTATACGTCTAGGATGAGATTCTCCTAACAACCCTTTGCTTGACAATGTAGAGAAGTAAAAGATAAAACTGATTTGAGACCAGGCAACTGCCATGAACAACTCTAACTTAAATCAACGAGCTTCCGGTGGGTTGAAACATTTGATTAATGAATTCTTCAAGAAGCAATATCATCCACCCAAATGACTTCAGCTCACCAGGATGCAGTGCAGACTGTTTCCAGCCACATCGGTGTTAGGGGCTTGAAGAAAGGCCCAGGTCTGACCCTTGTTATAGGTAATGAATGTCTTCACTTCATGGTCCACCAATTTGTTGGCGAGAAATATGCCATTTATTCCTTCTACCTAGAATGACAATAAGCCAAACAGATAAAATAAAAGAGATATCACATTGAGAGAGAGTGTATGTAATTATTTTAAACAATAACTTAATGGTTATGAAAAGTCCTTGCACTACGCAAAACTACAGTAGTGATTAAATTATACATAGGAAGTGTGCCTTTCAGAGGGACCAAACAAACGGTACTGAACATAGAAATATGGTATACCTAAGAGCACCTTATGGAGGTCCTTCCACAGGGAGAGTGTCTTAAATAAACACACAGTAGATGTACCTTATACATGTCGACCAGTAAATTTCCGCCTGCCTCTCTTCTGGTTCTGAGGTTTTCTAGAGACAGAGTGAAGAAGACCCCTGGAGAGTCTGAGATATACAGGCTGTAGGTGTCATTCTGGTTCCACTCCTGTACAGCTGCAAACACCTGCTTCTTATCTGTACTGATGATGTGCATGTCCTGTTAGATGAGAGAGAGAGAGAGAGAGAGAGAGAGAGAGAGAGAGAGAGAGAGAGAGAGAGAGAGAGAGAGAGAGAGAGAGAGAGAGAGAGAGAGAGAGAGAGAGAGAGAGAGAGAGAGTGGAAGGATGAACAGACAGGCAGGTAGGTAGAGACAAATGAAGAGTTTCATTCCAAAACACTATATATCCATTTTCAGAAATGTTGGTAAATTAGCTTTTATTGTTTAAAGAAAATACAAAAGTGATTAGTGTGTCTTTTCACTATCTAATCATGGCATGGGGTTGTTCAATGACAAACATGCATTTGTTTAAAATCTAACACTTGATGGTTTCATTTCAGAGAGACAAATAATCATGTTTCTTTGCTAAATTCTATATATCCATCTCACCCTCAGATAAATAAGTTGTACTGCTAGGCTTTACACAGTCAAATGTAACAAAAAACACTTTTTTTATATAAAGAACTGTACAAATGATACATTTGTGACATCAATATTTAATAATATTTATCAATATAATATAGTCATGTGAGATCTGTATGTAAAACATTTACATTTGACATTTTAGTCATTTAGCAGATGCTCTTATCCAGAGTGACTTACAGTAAGGTGAAACAATCACATATCACAGTGAAATATGCAGGATACTAACATTTCATTCCAGCTAAACAATGGATATATAGAGTGATTAAAAAATAAAAATAATAATACAAATCTAAAATCTATTAATTAAAAATCTGAGAGCAGTATTTTATACACAGACATGAAGATACCCATAAGCTATAATTTCTGATGACCCCCCCCTACAAATGTGAAAAATTGGTGGATATAGCGTTTTGGAAATAAACTCTTCAAATTGACAATCTACTATAGAGCGATATAGAGAAATAACAAGTGAGAGAGTATCTATCATCAGTGTGCTTCAAGATGAGCAGCTTTCCATCTCCACAACATGAGACAGCAGTGTACCTCAGAGTGAGTAAAGGGAGGCTTCAGAAATAAAAATTGTCTCATGTCCTCAAACTGCTGCTGTATTTATTGCAAGGTGTATTTGGGTAGTTTGATGCTTACCTTGGGAAGACAGTATTTGGGTAGTTGAATTTGTTTAAATGATTCCCTCATATAGGACACAAAGTAACTCGCCTGCCCTGACTTGGTAACCTGTAGAAGAAAAAAAGGTCTTACGTCAATAGCTCTTGTGGGCGAGTAAGCACAATTCTCGCTTGTGAAGTTCATATTTTATTGAGTATGTTAAACTCATCGATGTTTCAGGCATGCTGGCCTTCATTAGAATGAATCCATTTGAAATGTCACTGACTTTAACAAACCCATTTTATTTTACTCCACCTCGACTTAAGATTGTCGAAGCACTGACTCACCCCACAGAAGAACTCCATTGGAATGAAACTACATTCTGGAAATTCAAATCTAGGTCCAACTTAAATCCAGTTCAGGTAAGTCGAGTTTAGCCACTTCAATACAATAATTAAAACAATTATAATAAGGAAATCAATTTCAAATCATACATTTTTTCATAATTTAGGGACTTGATGCTACAACACAGAATAGTCAAAATAAGATCATACACCAACATCCAAATGACATACTACTGTATTTACAATTACTCTACAAATAGTTGTGTCCTTCTCTACATGTGTCTTAGATGTACTACTAGCACCACTCCACTCTCTGGCCCAAACCACTTGATTTCTTAGTTTCTACTCAACTAGATGGATGACGATTGTCTCTAAACACACTACATTAGAACATTAGAGCTCTAATGGAATATTCTATCAATGAACTGCATTCTCCCAGGCCAGATTTCTGAGGATGTTGCACTTGGCTGTTCCTTCTCCCCCAAGAGACATTCGGGAGTTGTTGAAGACTGCTTATTTTGTTGTAGCCCAATCAATAACCTCATTACTCTTTGTCAAGTTAAATCCAACTGCCCCAAGCAATGAAAGTCACAAGAAAGTCCTCTGTACCGCTACAGCTCCCTGCCACGAGTCATATGTGTCTAACTGGGCTATTTTCACCTAAATCTATGATGCTGGGGTCAATTCCATCTAAACTCCAATTCGATTCAGGCATTGTATTGGATCATTATTTATGACCCAGACAGTTACTAATTATTTAGAATGAGAATATTTTGTTCATTAATCATATTTTCAATTAAATCGCTGAATTGACAGAGTTGAAACAAATCAACTCACCACTGTGCAATCCTACCATTTATCTACATACTCACAAAGATGATTTTTATCGTCAAGATGCCGCATTCATCATAAACACCACATTACATAGCTGTCTCATTCTAAACTTAAATAACACTTACTGTATGTATTTTAAGTCTCAGCAAACAATTTCTACATCATATTATTAAATAATGTTACACCATGAGTGAACCTGAACCCTCGTTAGCACTGCAAAACTGTATAAATTGAGGAACAGCAAAGCTGACAAAGAAAGTCAGACATCTTCAGCTGTAAATGGAAATCCATGGCAACAGGAGAGAATGACACACAATGCCATTGCCTAACGCCAGCCGATTTCATGTAAACCTGGTTGGCAATAATGACGGCAAACTCCATACAGATTCCCTGCCCGATTATAAGAAAAGCATTCAGCAGACGTGAGAAAATGTTTCAGTAGTCAGAAAATCCTTCAACATCATAGGCAGCTTAGACAATAGAAAATTCAGACATTAAGTGCAGCAGGTGTTTGGAAGGAATGCCATTTTGTAGACTTCAATGGTACAACACAGATTGGATGCAGCAGAAGAACAGAGTTCACAGAAACACGGAAGCCTTTTGTGAACACTTAAAATGCACTGGCGTAATAAATAGATACAGTACACACCTGAACGAACACATAGTCGTCCTGAACAACCAGAGAATTTTGGTCTATGTGTCCCGGGAACAGGTATTGTCTGTTAGATTCTGTGCATCGTTGAGCTCTGCATGTAACATACTGAGCACCTAACACAGAAGATAACAATATTAGTTGTCAGTAACAATCCTAGAACAACCAACCAATGAAGAAAAATCACAAGCTAATGGACTTCTGTCTATCTTTAGTGGGCACTAAAACTTTCCAAACCTATTCTCCATTTTCCAGGGACAAGATAAAAATAGCATTCCTCTTGCACTGTAAGAATCAATGAAACAAAAACAAAAAACGTGTTGACAATTCAATCATTCTCTCTCACATCACACAAGTAATACTATTTTGACCCGCCAAGGAATCCTGGTAATTGGTTTGATTGAATAAGGTCTATATTGTTAGCATTTTTGGAGAATTTAGGTTCTGATATGAGGTACAAGGGACTGATTGAAGGGGAAATACATCTATCAATCTATTATATAAAGCTCTATATTTGTCAAGATACTCGTATTCTGCTTTACGTGCTTCTGGGACCTATCCCACAGCCAGGAATGAGCCTTATCTTTTCAGTGACCTCGCTCTAAATAAGAGGCAAGGGATCCATGGGGTCCTGCTACTGCAGGGGAGTGAGGCAAGTTACAGAACAGCACTCACGTCCTTTGGCGATGTGGGTCTCCATGTGGACCACATCTGCCTCTCTGTCCAGCCCCGTTTGTGCCCTGCAACATAGGAGACAGAGGTGGAGGAAAAATAGGACAAGAAGGGAGGAAGGTGAAAGGTGGAGGAAGAGGAGGAAGAGGAGGAGAATGAGAAAGGGGAAGATTGAGAACAGCAATTTAGAGGAGGAAGAAGAGGAGGGGGAAAAATTATATGGTGAAGAGGAGGAAGAGGAGGAGGGGGAAGTAGAGAGTGGGGAAGATGCAGAGGAAGATGAGGGGGAAGAGGAGCAATTTAGAAGCAGGGGGATCACCATAAGAGGACAGTGGCAGCCCGTGATGGACAGCACAGACAACACATCTCCATTTCCTGTAGGTTTGTGGTCTTCTCTTTCTTTCTTTCTTTCTTTCTTTCTTTCTTTCTTTCTTTCTTTCTTTCTTTCTTTCTTTCTTTCTTTCTTTCTTTCTTTCTCGCTCTCTCTCTCTCTCTCTCTCTCTCTCTCTCTCATTCATAATTTGTAATATGACATAAAGGCAAGGTAAACTCTGTTATATGGTACTATTCTAGAAACATTATATAGAGGCAAAAGCATTTAATGCAGGCAGTAAATTCAAGCAGTTAAACATTTCATGTGTAAAATCATAAATTGTCCAAGCATATTATTGTCTTGTGTGGGGTGCAATTACACCCCTCCTGCTGTCCTTATTCATCAATTGTTTTGCTGTTCATGTGGGGTGACCTCCAAACAATGTCCTTTTTTTCTCAGCTTGAGAGGCACTTGGGTTTGATACACAACATGACAGACCGGGATAAACAGCATCACATCAATATTCACTGCCTTGTGTCCGTGCACTTGAGATTATAGAATGACAACGAGCAAAAACAACATGTCAGACTTAGGCTTTAGAAAGAGTAGCCCAATATTCCTGGCTACGTGATATGGGTTCAAGTACTGTAGGCCAACACTTTATGGTTGGTTGTCATAATCTGTCAAGACCTGTTTTGATATACACTAGTCTGACAGAGTTGGGTAGGGATCCATACATAACCTTAATTTTAGTAATAAAAAAATTAGATTTGACCTCACACTGAACTTGGTCATTTGGTATGTGTAAGACTATAAGACAATGGGCTTTACATACATAATATGTTTCAAGGTAGCTGAAAGATAGCATTTCCAATTTGCATATGAAATTCAATATAAGACACAAATGCTAATTTTATCTCTCATATTTCCTAGATTTATGATAAAGAGATTATAGAAAGGAGTTTTTCTAAATTAATAATGACAAACATGGGCAGGAATGAAATCATACCAGAAGAACCGTCCAGGAGTCACGTTCTCACTAACCAACTGCCATTTTCTACCAAAGTCCATTGTGCTGTACACCTGATAATACATGAATGTGATCAAACATTAGTGGAATATGCAACATTTCACATCAAGTTTGTAACGTCAACCTTTATGATTGTAATGCAGAACAGTTGATAAAAGAACAAAATACAAAACAGAATTGTTCAATACTTTAGCAGTATCTTTCAACTTTGGACTTCTTTCAACTTGAAATATTTATTTTCCATTCAACATTGAAATAAAAGTGCTGCTGCTTACCTTGTTGTCAGGACTGCTAGCCAGCAGCCAGTTTTCCTGTGTTGGATGAAACAGCAGTCCGTCCATGTAGAAGTTAATGGGATGCTTCTCGAAGCTGGCACCTTCATCCGAGCTGATGAGTACACTGTGTTCCAGCTCTGGGTCGCTAAGCATCATTATCTAAAGTACAGAAGGGGCGAGAAATTAGGGGGGGGGAGGGAGAGAAAGAGAGTATGGATCATTGTGCTCAATGGAGGATATGATTGCATGTCATTGTACAACATTAGGAATAAACAGCTGTATAAATGCATTGTTGATGAAAGCAAAAGCGACATGATGTACCAAAATCATTAGTCAATAATAAACTGACCAACAGAACAGCTTGTGGTAAAATATCTTAGTGATTTTTAGTACGGTAGTTATAGTGAGGTAGTTAGTCATTGTGTGGTTGAAGTGAGTGGGGTACTGTAGTAAGTGAGTGTGGGGTATAGTGGAGTAGTCAGTGAGTGTGGGGAAGTTAGTGAGGTGTAGCAGAAATATAGCAGAAATCTCTATGAACTGGTGTCTGGGTAGGATTGTCGAATGACACTAAACTCCAAGAAAAAAGGGTTCCAAAAGGGCTCTTCAGCTGTCCCCATAGGAGAACCCTTTTAGTTCCAGGTAGAACCCTCTGTGGAAAGGGTTCTACAGTATATGGAACCCAAAAGGGTTCTACCTGGAACAAAAAAGGGTTATTCAAAGTGTTCTCCTATGGGGACAGCCAAATAACTCTTTTAGGTTCTAGATAGCACCTTTTTGTAAGAAATAGCTTGGGTGTTCTGAATACATCAATGTGAATATACCAAGAATGACAATGTTCAGAACCAAGATGGAATGGTTTGGTGCTGATAATAAACATTGAAACATTATTTGGAGTCCTGCTCCCTCTAACTGGAGTTAACATCATTCCAGAAACTAGTCTTAACTCAACAATACACTACACACACTAAACTAAACAATACACTTCCTGGATAAACACATAATACTCTGCTTATCACTGGAGTCATTTACCATGGAGATGTTATACACACCTTTCTCTTGTTGGTTGGGCAGACGTAGAGGCAAGCCAAGGTTGACCCAACCTTATTATTCAGTTTTATATAAGTGCTCCCATAGTCCACTGATCTGTGAACAGTAAAGAAGACCATGAAAGGACCACTTTATGAGTTTTTCTCTATTGATGTGGCCGGAGTAGGTATAATACTCAGACATCTCTTTACGTGCCGAGCCTGTCATTTAGCTGTAACACACTCGGCTGCTCTAACCACATATACTTCCCCCCATTAGATACCAGGGTTCAATCCCTTTGTTCTTCCTTCTGACTGTCTCTCCAACTTACCTGTCTCTCCCTCTGTTTCATTGCTGTCTAAATAAAGTGCAAAACAATATGTAACGAGAGCAGTGGCGGCTCCTGAAAAAATTCTCAGGGGGGGCAATTTTTCTGATGATTTAGGTGACCTACACACATTTTCAAAAAGATATGTCCAGCAACAACATGAAGACAGGGGCAGCATATAAGTCAATGCCAGAAGCATTTATTGACTGATCTCAAAAGTGTTGGCTTACAAAAGCAAAATAAGTTATCACAGTAAAAATAATCAAGGGTGTTCTTTCACATTCCTCAACACTGCATAAACAATATGATTTCCATAAACAAATGAAATATCAGCTGAAAATACAGCATCTTGGTATTTGTTCAGATTGCAGGATCAACAAGAGCTTTTACCACATTTTTTGCCTCATGGTTGAATTGGAAATATGTGCACCTGAGCATAATTCACAACAAGCAAGCAGGAGCTTTTGATAGAGGCTACTGAAAACATTGATGCAAGTTATTGGTAATAAGAATTTTTTATAGACTTCCATATTCTGCCCTCTTGTATATATTTGTGAAAATGAACAGTGATAGACATTTTGCCTGAAAACAGAATTTGAAAATAATTTCTAGAAAAGGTAAACACAGCTATCTGTATGGCTTTGTAAAAATGAACAACCATATTCTGGCCAATTGTATAGATTTGTAAATATGAACAACCATATTCTGGCCAATTGTATAGATTTGTAAAAATGAACATGAACAGATTATTTTATTTTTTTACTTTTTTATAATGAAAAATAACTATTTTAAACAACATCAACTGTGAACTGATCTGGGCGTGTGTGTGTTAAAGAGACAGACAGGGAGGGACAAAGAGAGAGAGAGGCTACATTACTTGTACTGAAACTGTTCTCTTCTCTCTTTCAATGCAGAAAAGCGGTCAATGACTTTCTCATTGAAATCAGGCATGCTGAGGACTAGTTCCCTCTCCATGGAAAGCATGGCCAGTGCATTCAGACGCTCCTGGCCCATTGAATTTCGCAGGAATGTCTTAACTCGTGTCAAAGTTGAGAAACATCTCTCAGCTTCAGCTGTTGTCATTGGAGTAGTTATGAGGATGTTCAACAGAGTCACAGTCTCAGAGAACGTCTCCTGGAGGTTGTAGCTCATGAGAACCTGGTACAGTGCCAGTGCACCACAGTTTGACTTTCTCGTCGTCGGCAAAAATACAGTTCAGTCTCTCCAAAAGCACACTGGCGATTGAGACTGAGGTTGATTCCGAGATGGGAAGGAACTCAAAAAAGCGCTCCTGCACTTTGTGGTTGCTATCTATGTACCTCAGCACAAGCACCAGCTGTGTCTGTGTAGAAACGTCCGTGGTCTCGTCAGCTTGGATAGCTACGAAGTTCGCCGACTTCACCTGCTCCACAATATGTTCCCTCATGACCGCTAGCATACACTCCAGTAGCTCGTTTTGAATGGTCTTTGATGTGAACTTCTTTCAAAGAGACAATCGAGTTGCACTGAACGTTAGCCATCTTGATAGTAGTACGTGAATTGATTGACGCTGCTACCCGCTCTTTTCTTAGTTACGTTCATGGTTATGTTACGTATGACGAAAGCGCGTAAGTGCAAGCCCTCAGAAACCCATAGAGATTGTATTGAAAGCTCTGATATTTGAAAAAAAAAAAATATTTGATGCACGACTTTAGCCTGATTGGACATTTAGTGGCAGATCAGACGTCTAGATTAGAACACTGATAACTACTGTTGCCGTGATATAATTGATTAGAAAAAAATCCCTTCCTTTTCCCGTTTGGCAGTGCGTCGCCCATATCGCCCTAATGAACACACCGCCCCTGAACGAGAGTCTCTTTACATTTGATTACATTACATTCTTTCATATAATGACGTACCTTTCAGAATTTAGTTCAAGTCTGTTTTACCTCAACTTGGTGAATGAATTGTGTTTTGTCGGGTAATTTATTAAATTGAATAAGTGTAAAATTGACCTAAATCCCTGGAGCACTTTATTTAAGCTTCTATGTCCACACAGTAGGCTATGCTGAATTGCCCTCCAGAAACAAACAAATGAAAGACAAAAGACATTTGCTTCTCTGAACGTTGTTCGATGACAAGGGTGAATATACAGTATCTTCCTCCCTCTCTATTCTTTATGGTTCTATTACTACTCACCAAACACATAACCCACTCGCCTCTCTCAGTTCTACCTGGGCGCTTCCAAATTAAATTAAATTGCATAATTGGATAGATACCCAGAGTCTGCTATCACTGCTTGTGCATTAAGCTGCATCATTTCATTTGCTGTTGACATTGTTTGCAAAGGTTTCCTCCTCAACTTTTTTTAGCTCCTCATTTCGGTTGACAAATCCCCTCAACTGTAGCTGGAAAGACAACATCAAAAAATGAAGTTATTACAGTGACACGTTCCTTCACTAAGGGAAGCAGTCATTACTTTGTAACACACAGGAGATGCTTTTTGTGAATTGATCTTCTTATTGCATTTTGCCATCAAGAGTGCCACGGGGCTATATAAATAAATGATGTATCTTATTATTGCAGAGATAATTTACTCTGTTTCTTTTCATAACATTCAACTGCTTTCCTTTTTCAATATCATACTAAGAGCATTGCCACACACCCTGAGGTACAGTCTAATTTACTGGCGGTGCTATTGTTAACCAGACACCTTGATGATGGAAGACCTTCTGTACACAATATGGGATTTCAAAATGTGTCAAGTCAGGTGTAAATCTTAGCGGCGCCTCTAGTGAAACAGAAATTAATTTGAGTCTCTCTGCTTGGTGAACTGATGGTCTTTTTGTCAGGTGTATTTCAAAATTAAATGAGTTTCCTGTGGGCTTGGGAAAAGGTGAGCTGAAAAAACACAAGAGACTTTATCAGTCTCTGTATAATCCTTAATTAATTCTATTCTTATCTATGATGTGACAGCATACTGTACAGTAACTCACCATACCATATGAATGGGATTGGTAGGCCTACGGTTGTGGCATGTACTGTGTCAATTGGCTCTGCATGTATTGCATTCTGCTATACAGTGAGGGAAAAAAAGTATTTGATCCCCTGCTGATTTTGTACGTTTGCCCACTGACAAAGAAATTATCAGTCTATAATTTTAATGGTAGGTTTATTTGAACAGTGAGAGACCGAAGAACAACAAAAAAATCCAGAAAAACGCATGTCAAAAAAGTTATAAATTGATTTGCATTTTAATGAGGGAAATAAGTATTTGACCCCTCTGCAAAACATGACTCAATACTTGGTGGCAAAACCCTTGTGGGCAATCACAGAGGTCAGACGTTTCTTGTAGTTGGCCACCAGGTTTGCACAAATCTCAGGAGGGATTTTGTCCCACTCCTCTTTGCAGATCTTCTCCAAGTCATTAAGGTTTCGAGGCTGATGTTTGGCAACTCGAACCTTCAGCTCCCTCCAAAGATTGTCTATGGGATTAAGGTCTGGAGACTGGCTAGGCCACTCCAGAACCTTAATGTGCTTCTTCTTGAGCCACTCCTTTGTTGCCTTGGCCGTGTGTTTTGGGTCATTGTCAAGCTGGAATACCCATCCACGACCCATTTTCAATGCCCTGGCTGAGGGAGATGGACAGTTATTTTGTGTTTCTTCCATTTGCAAATAATCGCACCAATTGTTGTCACCTTCTCACCAAGCTTCTTGGCGATGGTTTTGTAGCCCATTCCAGCCTTGTGTAGGTCTACAATCTTGCCCCTGACATCCTTGGAGAGCTCTTTGGTCTTGGCCATGGTGGAGAGTTTGGAATCTGATTGATTGATTGCTTCTGTGGACAGGTGTCTTTTATACAGGTAACAAGCTGAGATTAGGAGCACTCCCTTTAAGAGTGTGCTCCTAATCTCAGCTCGTTACCTGTATAAAAGACACCTGGGAGCCAGAAATCTTTCTGATTGAGAGGAGGTCAAATACTTATTTCCCTCATTAAAATGCAAATCAATTTATAACATTTTTGACATGCGTTTTTCTGGATTTTGTTGTTGTTATTCTGTCTCTCACTGTTCAAATAAACCTACCATTAAAATTATAGACTGATCATTTCTTTGTCAGTGGGCAAACGTACAAAATCAGCAGGGGATCAAATACTTTTTTCCCTCACTGTATATCAAAACCAAGATCAGAGAGTTTCCTGGATGAGGGAAATCAACATTGACCCAATAGCAAGGTAGTTAAATACTGTACATCATTCAGTGAATTGATCCACAAATGCATTCTTAAAAGGGTGTCAATTGTGTTAGAACAGATCCCTACCTATTATCAAATAAGTGTCAACATATAACACTATATTAAGATGTGGGACATTCACTGTATTACAAGAAACAACTAGCGGGTCTATTTCACTCCAGCAGCTTCACTCTTAGACAAAAGGTACTTTTGGTTCTTTGGACGAGATTAAAGAACCCTTTAAAAAAAAGGATATATATATAACCCTACCCTAGAGTGTAAAAAAAATAAAAAAAAATTAAAAAAAATAACCCCAGTCACTACAAACTCTGAAATCACAGCTAAAATACAAGGAGCAGGCAAGAGGCAGGTTGAGGACAGGCAGAAGTTAATTAACCAGGTCAGAGTCTGAAAGGTAGAGGGCGGCAAGCAGGCTCGAGGTCAGGGCAGGCTGAATAGCATGGCAGGCGGGCTTAGTGTCAGGGCAGGCAGAAAAGGTCGGAACCGGGAGGGCTAGAAAACAGAGACTAGGGAAAACAGGAGCACGGAAAAACACGCTGGTAAGCTTGACGAGAC